AGGTTTGCCAAATTATACATTCTCAATATTAACGTAGTGCTAGGTACTCGACGCACACAATTACTCGTGTCTGTATGTGTAATTGAATAAGCGAACGAGTGTGTGTATGTGTGTGTGTCTATAGAGCTGAAGCCAACGCACATTGTCCGCCATTTATAAAACCGAAAAAAATTTTTACAGACTGTCACAGTTATGTGTAAATAGCACAATTAATATTTACATTTAATGCCATTTACCTATTGCACTTGGCATCACATTGCGAACGCGTTTTAATACTTATTTTTCAATATTATTCAACTATTCTTAAGCAAACTGTTGGAGCGACTTTTACCTTATATTTTACTTCTGCACTAGTAACCCGAATAGCGTACAGTCAACCAATCACAGCGCGTCTTTCATTTGCTAATGTCGCAAGCGACCTCTAGTAGTCGTTTAACGTACTATACTGTACATGGTTGTATGAGCATTCGACGCAGTGCTGCAATCGTGTTTGCAATCGATAACTGTTCATGAGATCCTTATATTTGAAATTGACAATCGAATAATGACATTGCCGGTATCGTTTTATTCTTTCCAGTTAACTCAATTCATAATTTTAGAACTGAGAATCATAAATTAAAAAATATATATATCTTTTTGAAAATTGGCTTAAAAATACTAAAGGGTTCTGCAGCCCTGCCGTTATATTTCGTTATCTTATCAGCGGCTATGCGCCTACAGCACTTATGTGCTAGACGCATTATTCGTTAGTATTACTTCACTGTGCGCGCCCATCGGTTGCATTTTTAAAATAGTGTACTAAATGTTCGCAATAATATTGTGTAAGAAAACGTTTACTTATTTTGATGAGTATTATTCGATAATTTGTAACAATAGTGAAGATAATATTCAGATAATAAACAAATACACACATACACTGTGTTAACAACTACAAAGAATTTGGCTTATTGACATGCGAGTTAAAACGGTTCCCCATAAAAAGATTCGCTTGGAATACATACACATGCATAACTACACCGTCTCCCTTAATGCTTAATTTCTATGTGCACATGTGTTAGTGCATACGTTATTATAGTTATTATAGCAAGTGACAACTGTGCCTGTGTTTCGCTGTTGTTTCGGTTTTATTACAATAACAACATTTCTTCCCTGTCAGTTTGCTTATCATTGCATTTGCAAGAAAATGTGTTATAGTATATGGCATACCAATGTATGTATGTCGTGTGTATATACAATGTCATAAATAATTTTACTAGCTGTTCTTCACATAATAACAAGAATTTCTGATCAGCACACACTCATTAATATGACGTCATATATGTATGTATGTGAACTCGCCTTATAATTGGACTACACGTAAAAGATAATACAATACAATGAGTACTGTTGATAGCCGCTATTTTTACGATGAATCCATCCATTGATTATAACTGTTTTCTGCATTAGTACACATATAACAGTTTATGAGAATTGTATGCGTAATGCACATATTTACTTATTCTACATACATATATACACACTTACATATGCAGTTGATCTGGCGTTAAACCCTGTCTAATTGATCATCTCGGTTTGTTTGTCCATCTTAATCGTTATATTTGCATTTCCGAATGAGAGCAAATGAAAACGAACTCTAAAACAACTCTGATCTACTTTGAGTGAGAATTTTCAAGTGAGAAAAATGAGTGTCTGTAGTATTGCAGTTGCAGTTTGCTTTTATTAAAGCTGTCCAATTATTGTCTTAATTAATAATAATTATGTTAATGTTATTGTCTGATCATCATCAAAATAATTATGTTTAATGAATGCACAAAACGTATAAACTCTTGCTACTGTTTGAGTAAAACTGAGTAAGCATGAAAACTGGCTAAATACACTCAAGAGCTCAGATTTGCTCTTAGTGCATTTGTGCCAGCTATAAAAGGGCGAGACAGCATCAGCTCTGGTTCAGTCGTCTCCCTGAATTATTGTGGGTCGATCGCGCGGCGAGATGTGCGATTTAAGTGTTAAGAATATTTGGCTTATTGTGCATAATGTATTTTCGTGTTTAATATATAATTTTGTAAATGAACTTAAACATATTTTTAGTATATATAAATTAATTTAAATTTTTTAAATTACCGATTTAATATTAAACTTGTTATATGTTTATATTTTTATTTTTTTTTACATTTAAATAAAAACAAATATATACATATATATTATAAATTATTTGATAAATAATTATAAAATTATTTATTTTAATAAACAATTTTTTAAAATACGTAATTGAATTATAAACACGTGCGAATGGATGAATATGATATTAGTAAACTATATTATAATGACCATGATCATTATAATTAGCATGATAATAACGGGTTTTAAATTTGTTATTTTCAAATTTGTTTCATAATTTTGAACATATCGTATTGTATAACGTCGTGATGATTTTATTAATATTATAATAAAACTATTATAATAATAATGAATATATTTTTTTTTTGTTACACACAAGCACAATTTTTATTTAAAGCTGATTTGTTGTTTCTATTAATTTCTTTTCAGTTAAACAATAATAGGATAACATTTACCAAATTAAAATACCAAATATACTATAAATATAATATAAACTGATTTAAAATGGGCACAAAATGTTGGATAAGTGGATTAAAGTATTATCTAAAAGTATATCTTGTCACACACCTTTGCATACTGCTCACATTAACCAAAGCTGAAGATGTTTCCAATGCAACGACTGTAATCGACACAAGCAGGTTCTTCATATTTGTTTACCCCGATGTACCGTTTAAGTGAACTACCTTTTTTTTATAGTACAGGCACGACATTGGAGCAGTTCAATAATATAAGTTCAACCGAAGTTTCTACGACACCAATGCCAAATAATTCGACTTATGATCCAAGTATTCCTACAACACCCAGCACAGAAACGCCAGAAGTGAAAGTAATACAAAAACAAGTTCAACCCACGGACTGTTCACAGCGTGAGAAGTCCAGAAATCAACCGGTAGCATCATCTAGCTCTCGATTACGAAAATGCTGTCCACTTGGGGAGAACTTGGATTTTTATCGGGAAAACCAAAGCGATTCAATGTGTGATAATGCCGTGCTCAATTTTGAGCCAACTATCATTAGTGCGGTGCTCTATGACAATTGCATTGAGGACTTGGAAATAACTACGGAGTTGCCCATCGAAATTGGCAATCCATGTAATAGGTAAGTCTCCTTTTTATTATGATATCAATTTGTATATATATTCTATATTCGGAATACTACTCGGAGACTACAAAATCCATTAGGAATCCGATTTTTTTTTGTTGTGCTCTGTAACTCTTTGTATTCATTGCAGTGTTAACTTTTTCAGCTCGTTTCAATACGAAGATTCAGAAGATCTATTTTTTGTGCTGCAAGATGGTTCGCTGCTGATCATCGACAAGAATGGCAACGAGTCCTACACGGTGCAGGAGAACTACTGCCTGGATCAGGATAAGTCTGGCCACATGCTGGCCTTCGTATGCATCACACAGGTGGAGGAGGTGTCCAAGGCGAAGATCATCATTGTGGCCATCATGATGCTCATCAGCATGCCCTGCCTGCTGCTGGTTAGCTATTTGCACCTGACGCTGAGGCTGCTGCGCAACCTGCATGGCTGGTCCTTGGCCCTGATGTCGCTGTGCTTGGCCTGCGGCTATTTCGTGCACTCCATAGTCCACATATATGGCATACCATCCGGCGGGTTCATCGGCTACGTTATACAGTTCTTCATTCTAAGCTTTTTCTTCTGGTTCTTCTGCATTTGCTGCAATGTCTTGCTAAATATTTGGTATAAGCTGCCGCGCTACGTTCAGTTCAACAAGATATGGACTATTGTGAACTTTGGCGTCTATTGTGCATTTGCCATTGTGGGACCAGCTATTCTAGTCACGCTGACGGTGCAAAAGGGTTTGCCGGGCATGCCCTCATATTTCCTGCAGGGACTCACGGAATCCATTAGAGAATCGCAACGCTATTTCATACCACCCGTTTCTACTCTTCTGGGGCTTAGCTTTCTGGTAAGTGCAAAGAAAAATGTTACAATCGGACGTGACCGGCTATATACAAGGTGTTCACGCTCTGAACTCAATCGAATCAATTTACAAATATTATACGCAAATAAGTATAAAATATTTCCGCAGTTGACACGCCTCATTTCATTAGATTGCTTAGTCTATATATATCTATTCTCTCTTATCTGAACTTTCCCTTTTTCTTTATTAGGCCATGGTAGTAGCTTTCTTTGGCTTTCAACGCATCAAAACTGATGGCTATTTGCGTGCCAATGAGGATGAAAAGAACGTCAATAGCCCCATACGTCAGTTTGATCAGGAAAAGTATGAGGATGTTAAAAAAGAGTAAGTGTTTGGATATGGAAATTTTGTCAACTAATATATTAACAAACTCCGTCTACATTAACAGCGCCAAATGTGTAGCCTTGTTGGGCATTATCATCATATTAGCTTGGCTCTTCGAAATAGTTACGTTCTACTCGCCTGGCAATGAAGGTAATATAACAATTATATAACATTAGAATGTAATACATTATAAATTTATTTCCCTTCTAGTTTATTTACTGCTCTGTGATATGATAAATGGACTTCAAGGCCTGTGGATCATGCTTATCTTTCTGGTCGTGCGCAGACGTCGCACTATAATATTGCGCTGGTGGTACGATCGGGGCACGCATACGATCAGCGAGGGCACCGAATTGCAGCCGGTGAACAAACCATTGAATCCTACATAAGAATTTAGTCATCTAATTTGTTTATTTATATAAATTGTTTATTGCATTTCATAAAGAAAGTTGTTAATATTGTGTTTTCTTGCTTGTCGTCACTTTTATACATAAAGTGTCATTAGGTTTAGGGGATCCTGGATGAAGAGAGAGTCAGTGTGATAAATGTATCAACTATGATGTAATGTCGTCTTTAAGGATGAAGCAATTTCGTTACGGTTATTTTCTTTTTCTGCTCTATCGATGCCAAATACTTCTAAGTCATGCAAATCTAATTGTGTTCGTGTTTGGTTTTTCTTCTTTTGCTTTCTGTTTTCTTATGTGTTTCATGATTACGAGGAAAATTCATTATATGATGATGAATAAATATTTGTGTGTCATACTTTTGGATGGCGCCGGGCTTAGCGCTATAATACTATTTACATATTGTATGCAACGTAAATGGGATCCAACTGATCGGCCAGAAAACCATCCCGTAAATGCATGCGTTGCTTCTCTCCACGACTATTAATGGGCACAACACCTAAAAAACAAGAATAGCATACAAATTAAATAAAAATTGTTGATTACGCATAAGAATTTGAAGTTACCCGGATCTACGACTACAACGACGCCCACTATGAGTTGATGCTCTTCCAGCACCGTGTTTGTGACTAAGGGCACCAAATCCAGCGCTTCCGATTCGTTGCCATCCAGCTCAACAACAACAACCAACAAATTGGTCCAAGTGAAGACGGCGCTGAGGACAAAATTGGGATTCATTATTACAAAAGTTTGATACAATTCAAAGCCTCTCAAATTTACCATTCAGCAATTTTCTTATGACAGCGCAATACCGAATTCTCAATATCTATGGGATGATAGTTCATGCCGCGCAACGAAATCACTTCGTCCAGAGCGCCAACCACATAAACCGCATCGTGCAATTCCTGATCACTGGAGTTAACTGCGCCACCCACCAGGCTGTGCTCCGAATTGCCGCCCAGCGAAGTATTTGAAAAGTTCAACTGCAATTGACTCATGGAGTTCAATGACTCTGTATCACTGTCACGACTTGCCACGCTCGGTGTGGTCTCATCTAATATGGAGGCTGCCTGTGAGCATTCGGTGCGCCGCAAGAAGCCCAGATAGCCGGTGCGTGCATACACCTCAGAGGTGGCGCCCGTGACCAGCTTGGCATTGAAATGATCATTATAGTCGGTCTCATCGCCATAGATAGTAAAGTAGCCGTTGGCATTGTGCGGAGATTGCACCTATATAGGGAAGAGGATTTGTCATTAAAATACATCCATCTTAATATCAGACACTTGCTTACCCAAATTTCACCTAAATGTGAATCGCCGCAGTGGCCCTTAGTTTCCGGATTTGCTATAATCACTTTGACGCCAGGCAGCAGCTTGCCGGATTCAATTAGACACAACGAATTGGGCGCACCTCGCTCCACCAATGCCACGCGATTGTTGCGCAGCGCCCTAAGGTCCACATACACTTGTGCGCTCTCAGCCGAGCTGGCGCCCTGAACGCATATGGCCGGGTTAACGCGACAGCCAAAGGAAGTAGAGACACAGCGTGTGTTCAGGCCGAGGCCCTGGAACAGTTTGCAAAACTGTTGGGTCAGTGTCACGCGCGGACGCTCCTCGCCCACAACGACGCAGGTGCGCACACATCTCAGATCCACATTGCGCTGCTTGAGCGACGGCACCGAATTGCTCAAAGCCTTAGTGCACAGCTCAATGACGCCATACGAGCAGAATGTGTCGCGTACGCGATGCTGCGACAGCGTCGAGAGCCACAAACTGGGATTGGCCTCCACCTCGTAGGGGGCAATCAATATGGAATGGTGGCCACTGTACACACCAATCAGAGTCCACATGACAAAGCCAAGGCCACAGTAGGGATCCAGACACAAGGCGACATGCCGCGATGGATACAGCTCACAGGCCAGTTTTAAACTGGCGCACAGACTAGACAGAGATCTGTTTCGATACATACATATAGAAGATAGAGATTAGTTGAAGCTTCGTTTAGTTTTCAGGATCGCTCACCGATGAGTTATATTGACGCCACTTAAACGACCGCATGTCGATACACTGAAATCTAAATAGGCGCTGGAGTCCAGCGAGACTGTGGCTATGCCGGCCAATTTACGCTTTGGATTATCATCGATGTCGAGTATGGGTGGCCAGGTCTTCGGATCGATGGACGAGGCCGCCTCCCTCGATTTTAGTAACTTAATAATCGGCTGTATGGAGAGCACAATCCCACTCTTGGACACATCGACAATCATGCGCACAGTGGGCAAGGTTGTTATCAAATTCTGTGGATGCGGCGGCCGTATTGTTATAGGTATTGCGCCCAGATAAAGGCAGCCATAGAAGGCGCAGAGCAAATCCAAGCCAGGTGGAAATATGAGCGCTATATGAACGGCAATTGAAGGTATTATTAACACTTGTACTGCTTCAAATATCTCGAGGTATTTTATAGACTTACCAACATGATCACCTGGCTCAATCTTGCCACGTTCCTGCAGCAGTGCAGCAATCTTTTCAGCTCGCTTATGCAGCTCGGAGCAGGTCAGCGTCTTGGCTATGGCGCCTAGAAATTAATATGAAATTGTAGATAAAATTTAGTTTAGTCTAGTATTTATAATGCTCACGTCTTACCCTTGGAATTGAGCAACGTAAATATGATGTGATCCGGCGAGGTGTTGGCGCGCCAACGCAAAACGCCTGTTATCAATTGGGGCTGTTGATTAAAATCATGATAAATTAGCTATGTAGAGAGTGCTTGTAATCAATGACCTACCTTACGCTCACCGTCCTCAGCCATGCCCACGTCGCGTCCGTGTGCAACAGCCAAACGATTGCCCTGCACTAAATTTCCAACCATGACCGAGGCGGGTCCTACGCCCGTGTCTGTAATACCACAGCCAGATGTTGAGCTTAGTTTTGCAGTTGTTTGCACACCTTTATTTAATTTTGTTTTTTTTTTTTTTTTATGTTTTGGTTTTGATTTTTGGTTAGTTTTAGTAGAATGGTATTGTTGTTTTTGTACAAGGATTTCGGTTTGATATGGCACGGTAACAGAGTATGAGTTATATATAGATCGTATGCAAATTTATTGTGAATTTTGTTAATTTGAAAGCACAGCAAATGCAATTAGTTGTTGTTGACATTGGTATTTGTATTGGTAATGTATTGTTTATTGTATTTTTTTTATACAGTGTTGAGTGGTGAGTGTGGTAGTAGTTGTTTGTTTGTTTGTTTGTTTGTTGTTGTTGTTTATTAGTGGTGCGTATTTATTTGTAGTGGGCATAGTGGGAAGCAACCGCAGCATTTTCATTGTTGTTGTAGTTGTAGTTGTTTGTTGTTTGGTGATTAATAAAAAAGAGGAAAACAATATTTGTATTTTTATCAGATACGAATATGCATAAAGAAAAGCACAGATAGGAACCAACAAAGCCAATAGATTAAACATTAGGTTATATATATATAGCCATATATCCAAAACAAAACAAAAACAAAAACATTTCATCCACCCACTCACCTTGATGCATTTCTCGTGGCTTTGGTAGATTGGTGACGCATGTGTGCGGACACATCAGGACATTAGCCGGATGGAGCGAGCCCTCCAGGAAGCGACGCCGCGCCTCACACAGATGTATGCCGCCCAGCGGGGTCTTTGGCAAATGATTGGGCGGCACCAGGGCCAGACAATAGATGCCCACCTGATGTATGGAATCGACTGCCTGCAGCACGCGCGACATCCACTGGAAGCTCTCCTCCTCGGAGCAGTCGGGCCGCTGCTCGGCTATGACACAGACGCGCTCATCGCGCAGCACTTTGATGCTGAACACAGCAATGCGTCCGCGATAGATGAAGCGCATGGGCTCGACGGCCAGCACCGTGGCAATGATGTCATCTGCATTGTGCTTGCGCCCGGTCACCGTCATCAGGCCGTCGCGTGAGCCGCACACGAACACCAAGCCGCCGGGTCCCAGGAAGCCCAAGAGACCGGAGCGTACATAATACTCTTCGCTAAGTGGCTTGGGGCTGCTCACAATCGTGCCGCCCGTCTCCTTCGGCTGCTCTGGGTCCTCCAACAGGGGTTGGACTTTGAATGTCGAATTCGTCATGCCATCGAGTCCAAAGTAACTAGCACCCGTTGAGCCACTCGTCACACAAATCTCCCCCACCTGATCCGTTTTGCAGAGCACTGGGGCGCCCTCGGAGCGAACAACCACCATTTGGGCGGCTGGCATCACTTGCCCGCAGTCCTGCAGTGTGAGCGAAGTCAGCGAGTCCTCGCTGTCTACACGCACCACGCCATGCGAGAGGGCGGCCATGGACAAGACTCCGCGTCCAGTCGCCGATTGGCAGAAGCCCGTTGTAGACGACCGACCCGGTCGACGCAGTGAGACCGTGAAGACCTCGGAGCTGCTGGCACAGGGGCAAATGGCGTCCGATCGCAGGCCTTTCGCTTGGAATACATTTAAGAACTGATCGCACGAGGACAACGACCAGGGATTAGCGCCATCGGCAACGAGCAGCATGCGCAGCGAAGCCAACGAGATGTCCTTATGATCCTTGGTCGCCAGCAAGCCCCAGTGCAGATCTCGGCTCTTGACCAGACAGCACGACGCACGATGTTTTGTGATCAGCTGCATCCAAGACGATGGTCGCAGCTTCATCAGAGCATACGGAATGAATACCACATGCATGCCATTCAGCACAGACGTGAGGACGGCATGCCACAGGCCGACCTCGCGTTTAAAATCCAGCACACAGACAATGGTCTCGCCCTCTGTGTAATGGCAGGCCATAGTCAGGGCACGACAATGATTGATCATGGCAGCGCGGGTAACAGTAATGCCTGAAAGAGAAAAGAGTTGCATGAGTCAAAGTCAGTTAAGTTGAGAGTTGGATAATTACATTAAACAAATGCCAAAGGGAAGCTATCGCATTTCACTATACTATTTATACAATATACTCTATATAGTATACTAATTACATTTGTTTATTTATAAACTTCTATATTAGGAACCTACCCATTACACTGCCCTCCTTATCAGTCGTATACTCAATATACGCCGCAGCTGTTTCCTCAATTCGCAAATTGCCCACATTGAAGTCTTTGGGTGGCTTGGGCAGATGCTCGGTGACGAACCATTGTAGGCGTGGCCAGCCCTTCAATTTGGCTATCTCGCCCGTTGCCGACTTGGGCAGTCCCTTGAGGCAGGCCTCCGATGTTAGCGCCACGGTGATGCCGCATGAACTCAGCAGAAAGCCCACCTGCTGCGGAGGCGTGTCCGAGCTCGAGAGCGGCAATTCAATGGGCAGCGGCACCAAGCCCCGAAACATGCAGCCATACCAGGCCGTTATGAAACTACAGAAATACACAAGAATTTTAATATAAATCCAATTTAAATATCAATTAAAAACTTACCTCAAGGGATCATTGTTTGGATAGACCAGGGCCACGCGATCGCCAGGCTTTAGAGTGACCTGTTCGGGCCCTTTGCTAAAGATTTTGGTGGACAGCGCATAGGCGATCTTTTGGGCACGCGAGTATAGTTTGCCATAGGTCAGGGTCGTGGTTATTTTACCATTCGGATCCAAGACGGTGGCCATGGAGCTCTTGAAAGAATTTATGCCATAGCGCTGCAGTGCGCACTCCAATGTGCGTGGCAAGCCAGCTGGTATCGATAGCTGTTCGCCTTGCACTGGTGTCATGGTGCTGCCCTCCGGCTTGGGTGCATTCGGATCCTTGGGATTGGCCGCAATCTCAAGCTCAATATCATTGTCCTCATAGAACTCGGGCAACGGCCGTCGCTTGGGTCGCTTTAATGTGTTCAACAATTGTTGAATCTTGGCCGAAACTTTCCATTTGCCATTCGCATCAGTTTCATTTAGCTCCGTCTGAGAGACGTTCACATAACGTGTGACACGATCAGCTATGCGATGTGCGTTATTAAACTGGGTAATGTCGGGCGCGTTAACTGAAGGCCAAATAGAAATGGAAAAGTGATTAAGATTATATGTGATATGAGTTAAGAGATGTGCTTACAATGCTTCTGTTTATATGCCTTGTCAGTGAATTCATGATCTCTTTTATATCCAATGGGTGGGGAGTCTGTGCTCGAAGTGTCCGATGTGGGCTGCAAGGGGAAAAAGAGAGAGATAATTGATCATTTTTAATGATATATCTACCTATATATATTATATATACATGTTTACAAATCTCACGATTATTTATCTATTTGATTAGTTCATATCCATTCATTAATATTATTAACTCATTAATATTCGTTTAGAAGTCGTTGACAATTACCTCGATTGTAAGTACTTCTAACTATAGACCACTCTGTGATATTAGCACATATTTAACATCGTTGATATTGTATTAAGTTTCAAGTGCATATAATCTAACAATCTATTTAGTCATCTATTACATTAGTTCCTACAATTAATTTAGCAATGGTTAACAATTCTCTTTCGTTAATCTTAAACGATGAACAATCAAGCTATAATTGAACATAAACAATAGTGTTTCTAGACCCTGAGTCACTCACCAGAGGCGGTAAATTCTGCGGTGGCCGTCTCTCGGCCGCACTGCCCGACGATGGATACTTCTGAATCGGCGCTTGAGATTGCTTGACATCGTGCCGTAAATGCTGTTGTTGTGCGCTCATGGATGATTCACGTATTGGTGGCTTTATAATTGGCTCGGGCGGCAGCATACTGTTGCTTATGTGATCACGCGGATAATTATATTCCTTGTCGGGTGAAATGAGCTCCTCGGGTATCGATTCGTCATCACTGGATGAATCCAATTCATCGTTACAGCCGGGACTCCGATTGAGCACGGAGCTGCGCTTGGAGGGCATGGGCAGGCTGGGCTTGGGTCGACTCTTGAGCGCAGCCAGTGCCTGTTGTACAGCTTCCTGGCGCACCTCTATTGAATAACAACACACGAGAGTAAATTAGATAATTGAATATAATGCTAGACTGTTATATATACCCACCGGAATGATATCGTTTCTCATTGTGCGTTACTTTACGTTGTGTGCGCCGCTGTCGATGCTGGCTACTGTTCGATGACGGATGTCCACCATGGTTCTGGAAGGTGTTCGGTTCGCGGGTATTCTGATAGCCGGGATCGCCAACGGCGCCGCCTTGCGGTCGCATATTCTCATAGCCAGGTGCACCACCACCACCGCCCTGAGGCGTGGCCGACGACGATGACGATGATATGGCTGAGCTGGGCTGGTGAAAGTCAGACTTTTTGGAATGCCTTTGTTGTGATGAGGGTAATGATGGTACTTCAGTCACATAGCTATAGCCTTCGCTGGAAATGATGACGCCATCGCTGTTGACGTTGCTATTGTTGCTGTTGTTGCTATTGTTGCTATCTTTTATGTTATAATATGGCGGTGGCGGCAAGTTCTTTGCCTTTTCCACATCGTTTACTATAAATGATAATCACGTTGTTTCCGTTAATAAACTCATTTGGCCAAATCGAAATGGACAACAGCCAAATTGGATACTTACATTCCTGTTTCTTGAGATAGGGCTGCAATAATTTGGCCCGTTTCTTTTCATATCCTTTCTGTGTTATGTCGCCTGGAATGTGTTCAAAATACAAGTTTTAATTATTTTTATTTAATTTACATATAATATATATTTTTTATACGTGGGCATATAAATTATGGTAATTTTAAGAAAGTATGTTATTTTTGGGAAAGCTTTAATTAACCAGAAATTGATATAATTAACACGATATGCTATATCTTTTGACCCTATTATTAAACATTTATCATATACATATAAAAAAAAATCGAAATTTGGAGCTGTCCAAGATATTTATCTTCAAAATATATACTTTATTATTTACATACGCCGAGCCTGGGTTGGGCTTATCTTTAAACTGATAAGCCACACCTAATAGATATGCCCTAGAGTAGCGCTATTAATTGATATTGTGCCATGTATATATATATATATGTCTACGCATATTAGGTTAAACTACCTCTCAAAAGAATTAAAGAGCCCATCTGTTATGCATATATACGTATGTAGGTTGTATGTATTTATGTAAATAATCATCATGTCATATCATCAGACGCACACAAACCTTAAACTCATATGCGCTCTGTGCACATCTGTAATCATGCAAGCGCATACGACTACATGCAGGCATGCATGTACACATACATACATGTGTTTGTATGTATGTATGTACATACATACATACGTGCAGACACATGTCGTTTATCCCACAAAACCGCACACAAGCAGACGCTTTATATGAATAGCAGTTAAAGGGGTTGGCGCGATGACAAAGACACCCGGCCCGCCCCGCCCCGCACCGATCCATGTTCCCCTAGCGACTGCTGTCTGCGGTAAGCTCTCCCTAGTGGAGATATCTGATGTTACCCATGACAGGTTACGAGTACATCGTGCTCCAATTTTACATTATCGATATTATCGGTTAGAGCAGGAGCACAGATTATTTGGATTAAAGACCATTAATTATAATATATCTACTCTGGTGCTAACTTAATCTAAATTTCATGTATACAATCATAAATTCGATACCTTCAGATAACTCCAAGTCCAATTCAGCTAGCTTTTCGCGTACATCACTTGGCAGCGATGAGATAAGGTCCATCCCCAAAAAATTGGCAGCCGTCGCAGACATTTTTGCTGTGGACCGTTGCTGTTTTTCTTAATGGCTGGAGTTTTCTATTAGTACATAAGAATATACATACAAATGTATGTAAGTTTACATACACATATGCATAAACATACAAACACACCAACACACACACACCGCTAGTTTGCAACTTCGTTTCTAAAAATCGATAGATTTTCTATACATTAAATACATTTAATGAAGTTGACGTTTTCGTCACGCACAGTATTTAAATGATTAATTTGTTCAGAATTGTATTAATATTTTGCATTTTGCTTGCACAAATTAACACACCAGCCCGTGCTAAAAAGCCCCAACAGTAACCGCACCGACAAACGCGTATATATAAACAAAGAAAAAGTAGAAGCCATGACTGTGAGAAGCATAGGTAAGCAAGTGCATGAGCAACACTTAGCTCTCACTGCGCATGATGTCACATATTTGACATCTTGAATGTATAGAAAAGTAATCATTAATATATATTTTTAAATATAAATAATGGTTGTATTGTGTACTTTTATCAAGTCCGTTCAAAATTTAAAATAAAATGAAATCAAATTAACATAAATAACAAGAAAATGATCAAATGTGACGTCACAGTATTTCACATTCACAGCGTAGAGTGTATGGTTGCAATATACAACCTTTTATCCTCTTAATGACCAATGCGCACGGAATGGCAAAATTTAAAATATTTATATAAAAATCAAAGAGTACATGATTATTTAAAAAGTGATAAGCGCTTCGTATATAATTACTTTCTAGTTCTTTTAAAGCAGCGAATCGCATTCCTAATTAGCTAAAAATATTGTACACTTAAAACTGATACATATTCGATTGTTCAGGGCTACAAAATATCGATAGGATTGCGGCATCTTGAAAAGTCAAGTTGCACTTGCGATACGAAAAAAATATTTATGTTTTGCGCCTTTTTATAATAATTATATTTATAATATAATTGTACTGGAACCATCAAGTTGGTTTTGATTTGGCGTTGAACGCTTCTACGAAATGGGTGTGTTTGTACAGATATTTACCATTTTCGTATTTTGGAATAATATTTTTCTTTATTTTGATTCTTAGACTACATAAAACTGCAGGATGAAGTGAAAGCTTTGAAGAATTTGGGTATGCAGCTAAAATAAATATACATATATATGTTGGCTCTTATTAATTAGTAGCATTATAGGAGAACACTTGGAGCACAAGCTAAAACTTGTCAACTTCGAGGTTTGTGATTTACAAAACGATGTCTTAACATTGCTGGACAAATGTGTGGAAATTCAGGTCGACGGTAATCTAAATGACCTGAACTTGAATTATTTACGTGAATTTTACTATACGAAAAAGCGTGAGCAGATCGAAACCAAACTAACTGTAACACAGCAAGCAGCAGAGTTAAAGAAACTACAGCATGCAATAGAAGAGATGGACAAGGATATTGCAGCGCTTGAAAAGTAATATGGTGAACTGATTATTAAATATTCACTAAACTTATAAATTAACTCCCCACAGATTTACCAACTCAGTTGATAAGCGCTTGACCCCGGCAGCTATCCAACAGCAGATTAATGAAATCGAGGCAAAATCCAAGGGTCTTGTAGACAGACAAAAGGGCCTCAAAGTGCCACAGGATTTTAATATTGAAGCGGTTATAGAAAAGATCGATTTGTTGGAGCGAAAGAAATAGATATGTTCTAGTTTTTGTATAAAAATGATTTTAATATGTTTTTATTTAATCAGTTGATTCAAAAAAAATATTTACCATAACACAAAATCAGCAAATCTAAATTAATCGAGCTTTAACTTTTTACTTTCGACGCATTCAAAAAGAAGCTGTAACTTGTCGATTTTTACTTTGATTCTATTTTATTGGAAGTTAACCCTTTACAAAGTGGTCAATTGCTGCTAATTTTTGTTTACGTTGCATATTTGTTGTATATTTGTTTAAAGAATTATTAAAGTTTTTTAAAAACCGTAAAAACCGAATTTAAAACGGTTTATCAACTGCTTAAAGCATACAAATGTTTCAAGTTTCAACCTTTCCTCAATGATTTCTATTCGTTTCTTTTACTTTTCCTTTGCCTGTTGCTCAAATATTTCCAATGTAATTATATGCATCATATATTTATATATGTTTATAAATTGGTGTGTTGCTTGTTTGTGTATGTATTTATAGAATTAATAATTTCATATTCATTAAGTTGTTGCTTGTTGTTGTTGTAATATATAAAGGGCGGGTATGTGGCAGACAAACATTTCAGCCAGCAGCGCGCGCTCCACACGCCGCCTGCCTACTGCACGCTTGAACCATCTCCTAGCGGAATTCGGGCGCATCATCCTGCGTGATGTCGCCATACTTCCAAATAGCCAAATGTGCAGCCAAAGCCGCTTCCTGTGCAGTCCTGTACTGCTCGACGAGCTCCTTTAGCCGACGCTCGCGCCTCTTCTCAACCAGCACAAGTCCATCGGCCACCAACTGCTTGCCCAAGTCCGTCTTCGTTGTGGGATCATGTAGCGTGGCCAGATGCGGTCCATTGCCGACCTTCAGCTCAACATTCAGCTGCAACTTGTGGTTCAGCACGTCGTCGGAGAAGGCGCGCAATGCCTCTTCCTTGTCCTCATTGTCAGCGGGCAGTGCGATCAACGCGAGTGCGTACTCGGTGGCATAAGGCTTCTCGCTACTAAAGGCAGGTGGTAAGGCAGCCAGCCGGCTAATAGGTAGAGTCTACAATGGAAAATAGATAAGAGTCCAGATTAGTAAGGCCTCTCCTTTATCTATATAGCTATATATAATTATGATGGTCATGTTGCACACTGTCGACTGTCACTGGACCACGTCCGGGATGCCCCCAACAAAAAGCGTGCCATATTCAATGTGGAGCACATAGAATCAGAGCCGCTTTGCCGAACAAATGCACCAAAAAATATGGCTCAATTGTCCAGACTTGGTGCGGATAAATCAATGCTCCTTGAACGTGGACACACCCATAGATTGCTGTAGAGTTTGGTGTACATCGCTTCGTGGTCGCAGCTGGCGTCTAACAAATGCGCAGTGTTGATTTGGCAAACTTATGACTCATGCGTTTCGCTTTGAGACGGAAACGGATCTAAGGAGCTTGCGAAAAAAAACTTGAGTTCATTTTAATACTTACTTCCTTGTTGCCGTAGTCGATGTACAGAACAGTGGCGTTGTTGCCCTGAATGCGCTCCACCTTGGCGCGGTACCACTGATTATCGAAGGTGAATTGAGCGGCGACCAGATCACCACGCTTGGGCGTGTACGAGCCGGCAATGGGCGGATTGGCCTGGAAGTCGGCGTGCAGCTTGTTCATCAATGCCTCCAGCTTGGGTCCATTGTCGACCGACTGGGCAAAGAATGTCAGCGTATCGGTAATCTCAGTGACGATAACGTTCTCGTAGTTGACCTTGCGCTCAACCACAACCTTCTCGTCCTTGTCCTCCTCGACGACAACCTTCTCCTCAGGCACTTGTTCCACGTAGTTGGCCCAGATGTTCTTCTTGGCCGCCTTGGCACGATCTTCAGCGCTCTTGAGCAGTCGGTAGTATTCCGATTTTTCGGCACTAAAGTGAACCTCGGCGAGACCCTCCTCGACAAGGGCGACAGACAGATTAACGTTCTGATCAGTCCATAGCCAGCCAATGACCGATGAGCCCGCTTTGTCCGTGGTGTCAATATGCACGGAAACATCACGCTGCAGCACACGCTCCCGGGTGAACGTCAGCGCCTCATCGCCGTAGGGCTCGCCCTCCTGGGCGGGCACGCCATTAAGAGCTGGACGCGAAGAGCGTGGGCACGAAATGCCAGCGAGCAGGAAGGTAACCAGGCAGCTGTCCTTGGGCACGTACAGACGCAACCGTGAGCCGCTGGCAACGAACTCAACGATGGCTTCGGTGCGCAGAGCGCGTTGCCACGAGGGCAGGTACTGCACTTTAATGCGGGAATGCTCGACAGTTAGATCGTTGACGCGTAACGTGGCATTGTCCTTCTTGGCATGAAGACCCTTCTGGCCCTTGATGGCCTGTTGCTCGGCAGCAATCAGTTGATCGTAGGCCGATGACCTCTGGTCATCATCCTGACGATAACGCACGCAAGTGGCCAGACCCTTGGCCACCATTGCCTCAGCCACGTTCTGTCCGCCGATGAGCACAGTATAACAGTGCTTCTCCGGGAAATTGTCACGCATTGGTGAAATGTAGTCCAGATTGCACTGCACCTTCTTGTTGATCAGCTTCTTTCGCAGGAATTCTCGCGCCTCGAACATATGCGGAATTTCGTAGAGTGGACGATAATTCTTGCCACGTGGCGGAGCCTTGACGATCTCCTCCCCATCCGTGCCAACGACAGCGCGCTGATCACGTGGCGGCCGAATAGAGGAGAAGAATACCTTCTTCACCTGACCATTGGCAAGGCGCACGTTGATGGCATCGCCGTTGAAGACCTCGACAACGGTGCCCGTGAAATCCTTCTCCTTGGAGTTGAAAGCGGGTGTTTTCGCTTGGTAATCCTGCCATTGTCGCAGACGTTTCTCCTTCGCAATTCGTTCAGCGGCACGCAATTTATCAGCGCCTATAATTTAGGTATTATTAGTAATTTATACTGGAATTATAGTATTTTTAAATATATGTAGACGGGGTGAAATGAACGCAGTGACAATAATGCAGTCACTGTATTCTTGGAATCCGTCAATTTCATCTGGCAATTGGCAGTTGAGCATACATAGTGCAGCACAAGGCATTGGCCGAAAGGGCACCATGTACTTCAAGTCAGTTGCCAATGGAATACATTTCTCTAAACTCACCTGTCTTCATTACGGCCATGGACCAGTCCACACACTTGGCCAAGCCCTCGCGTAGCAGCGACTCAGCAATGTTGCCCTTGGGGTACAGAATCGTGCCAATGAAGTTGGAATTGTTAACAGACTCTAGCCTGATCTCGACATCACGCTGCAGCAACCGGGTCTCAACGTAATATCGTGCCTCATCCGCGAAGGGCACCTTCACGCTCAGGTCGGGTTTGCCATCGGCATCCAGCTTAACGCCTGGACAGCGAATGCCCGCGATCATGAGCGTAATGTAGTGGAAATCGGGCAGTAAAAAGGCACGCACAGTGGAGCCATCGCGCACATGCTCGATGATGGCCTTGACAGGTTTTCCACCATAGATATCGACGATGTGCGCTGGATTCTCATGCGACCACTTAATGTTCCGGACTTTATCGGCGGGGTTGACATTGTGCGCCCATTTGCCACGGTTGGCTGCACGCGCCTGATCCTCCAGTTCGATGAGAGTCTGCTGCTCGGGCGTTGGACGTCCTTCCCGACGCACCGTTACGAGACCCTCACGCACAATGGACTCAACGACGTTCTCACCGGTTTCCTTGTCCTTGCCCACCCAGACGAAACCGTATTCACGGTTGGAATTCGCGGGTTTGTCATAGGTGAAAGTCACTTCGACGCCGATCAACTTCTTGCGCAGAAATTCGCGTGATTCCCAGGCCCAGGGCTCGTCCTTGGTCTCATCGCCGCCAGCGCCAGGCCGGCGAGCCAGTTTCGGGGCGAGGACATGAGAGAAAGTGATTTGTTTCTCTGGTGGCGGGGCACCCTTGGTGGCGCGAATTACAACCGTGTCACCAGAGAGCACCTGAAATATACGCACGCCACACACAAGCGATGAGGTTAAAATGAAATCAATCTTGCAACCAAAGTAAATGTAAGCACGTGTTTTTCAGAGCAAATGTGTCGATAGGTGGCGCTCAAGTGGTTTCTTAAAGGGCTGCACTACATTGGTGTGACCATACCATGAACGTGTAATAATGCTTATTTATATGCACAGAAAAGTATTAAAATATTAAAGTTAATCCCTAAAAAATATAGCTTATTGTTTTATATTTTGGCTTCTTAGTTTTCATATTTAAATACAATAATAACGGTTTGCCATTTTTAAATACTTCTGTAATCTATTTTAGTACTGTTTTAAAACTGTTTTTACTAATTACCATGATAATGCTTAGTTATGTACAGGAAATCGAGCGAAAGTACTTTAGATATTAAAGTTATTACTATTAGTTTTCCTATTTAAATATAATTTCAGCGGTTTGTCCGCATTGATTTTTTCTGTAATCAAGTTTAAGTTTCTATATTAAGTTGTTTCAACTATTGAAGATTTTGTGCATTGTTTTTTGGTACACAAATAAATTGTATTTTATGGTTAACATATGTATGAATCAAACTAATTATTATTTTTATGTATTACAAATCAAATAAACATACACGTAAAACAACAAATTTTGTGGCCTATTCTTCTACGTGCATTAAGCAGACAAACAGGTGTTGTAATACACTGGGCTTTGATGCATTTTAGATACATATCAACAGGTCTTTCACCCAAACGCTGTAACACCGAATTCAAATTGGAATGATGACGCGGCATTGGAGAGGGGACCAACGTAAAAGATAAACAGTTAGCTCTATTGCCAGAGGTGTTTGCAACGTCATCAGTTGTGAAGTTGACTTTTATTAATTGCAATTGATAACTGTTGATAACCAGCTTTAGCAGCTGCCATGTGCCTATTTTGCTGGAGTTTATACATACATATGTACATACATACTTATGAATGCATAGCATTTATAAGCTAGCTTAAAGTGCACTTAAAAATAAAATTAAATACGGACTGCACAACAAATGCAGTTCTTACATTTTACATACAAAATTACATACATATATTGTATGTATGTAGTACATATATATACATCTATAGATGTATGTATGTGCATACATTTTGCGCCTGTGCAAGCGCTATTTGAGGTTAGAAACGAATAGTTTTGTATTAACCGTACCGCACGGCAAGTAAATTTCAACCTATGTATGTATGTATGTATGTGTGCTTATCAGATAAAAACGCATGTTTCAAAACGCCGGCAAGGCGCTGCTGACTGATGACGTCGACAATGTAAATTGTGGCAGTGGCAACAGTATTCCCGAAATGCGTATGCCAACATTATATGTAAATGAATTTGTACTCAATACATTTTATAGCCGCAGCTGAACAAGAAAATCTGCCAGGTTGGCACCTTCGATAACTTTCGTTTCTTTGCGTTATGCTATTCAGCCATTGTGTGCGTGTGTAAGCGTGTGCGACGTGTCACTCTCACGCAGCTCACATATATGAGCATCTCTTTCGCACATGCTTCAGTGGCATTTGCCGTATTTGCCACGCTGATAATTACAGATTTTGTATTAGTTAGATGCGATTTACGTATTCCATGTGAATGAGTTCGTATTAAAATAGTACACAGATTGAAAAGCACTTAAAAACTACACTTACTTGTTTCACAATGCCGTTTAAAGTCTTTGGAGGCGCTGGTGCATTTGGTGCAGGCGCACCGTCTTTCGCTGGTCCAGCTGTCGTGTTAGCTGCAGTTGCCATATTTCCGTACGCGTGCGGTTTTTACCGGCGGACCGTTATACGTGGCTGTTTTAGTAAGCGGGTTGATTTCCTCAAGTTGATTTAAAGTGCACCTAACACTGTTTTTAACTTAATTAAGTTAATTGAGTACGAACACACCACACAATACAATCACCTCAGAATTTTCACTGTTCAGCAAGCCGTGTGACCAAATCGCTAAAAGTCCGAAATACACTCTCATTGACGAAAATACCAATAGGGAAATGAGCTATATACTGGATGCGCTCAGTTAAGTGTTCAATGTTTATTAAATGTTTATAAGCATTTATATGTATGTATTCAAATATATTTATGTATTTATGTCATAATTAAAATGTTACTTTGTTAATTTTCCTAAAAATAACAAAGTAATGTGCCCAGACTATATAAATACCTTTGGTAAATGCCATCACTATTTGCGTTGACCATATTTAAGCGGGAAAATTTTTGGGTATTCTGCCTATAAACAAAGATGAGCCGCTCAAACAGAATGTTTGGCGATAATGCCTTTAATTTACTAAAGGATCTTCAGCGATCGTCACAGACTATACCAGCTTTCGACGATGACGGCGTACGACAGGTTCTGGAGGAGATAAAAGCGATTTTTGAGGAGAATGTGGCACAAGCGTCCAATTACAACAGTTCAGGAGATCGCAGTTTGTGGCCCCTGCTCAACTACAGGCATGCGGCACTTCAGCGAAATAAACGTTGTCTTCTGGCTTACCTATATGAGCGAATGCAGCGTATCAAAGCCATGCGTTGGGAGTTCGGCCCTATTATACCCAGTGATATAAAGCCAGCACTCTGTGAGCCAGAAGTGCAATTCTTCAATAACTACTCGAAGTCTCTGGCAGCATATATGCGCTCCGTTGGTGATGGACAAGGCATTGACTTAACTGGTAACTTACGTCCACCGAAGTCTCTATATATTGAGGTACGATGCGTGGAGAATTATGGCAAGTTTGAACTGGATGACGGCGAGGTTGTTCATTTAAGGAAAAACAGTCAGCATTACTTGCCTCGAGCCCAAGTGGAACCGCTGGTACGTCAGGGTATTCTACAGCACATAACTTAGGGTATAAATAATAGATGCTTAAATAAAGCATAGATAAATATTACTAAAAAAGTTTATATATTTCTGAAGGAATTACACTTGAAGGAAGCTTTTCAATTTTTTTCTAATCGTTACAGCTAATCGATAGATCAATTTGACAGCTGCTCGATTGGTTATGTTAAATTGCCGGCTACGATTTTATAATTGATTATGAATGAATAATTTATAAGTAATTTTCAGTTAGTATCCAACATTAGCTATAGTGGATGTTTTAATTAAAGTTTTTTAATGGATAGTTCTGGGTATGATTTATTTTTATTTCATTATTCCCTATTCAAAACCAAGTATCGAAAGTATTTCGAATAATAATCGAATGTGCGCTGTTAATAACATTAAACATCTTTTGAGCTCTCAGCTGATTGGCCATCATTACGTGAATCCAGATTTAGTGAATTAAAATTTGGTTTAAAAATGAATCAAGCCGATGTCAGCAAACTAATGTCACAGCTGAGAATTGCTGTGCGACCAACCAAACGTAACTTAAAAAACCCTGATGGCCCAGAAGGCCGTCTACTGAAGCTGCGAAAAACCGTGACGGCGTTGGTCAAACACGAGCGCATTGAATTGTATTATAATCGGGCTGATGAAGCGCGTGGATATGCTGAATTGGTGAGTGTAAAATTTGAGGCAAGTAATGTTGAAGTATTGCTAACTTATAAGTTCTTTCAGCTCATTTCAAATGCTATACGCCATGGCGATCGACACAAAGCAACCATGGAGCTAGCAGACTACTGGCTGCTGGAAAAACAACTTGTTCATAAACTCTTTAAGGTTTTAGTACCGCGCTTCGAGAACTCTACCGTTTCCTACACACGCATGTTCAAGGCGCCACGCGATTATCCAGGAATGTACTATAGAAAATCAGTGCTGGAGCTACGTGGAAATCCTTATCCCGCACTGATACCAGATAACAGCCAGAATCGCAATTTATTACACAATGTGCTGCTGGACGAGGCGCGCAAGGAGTTCCGACGTGAAAAGTTAGCAAGCTTGGCTAACAAACTGGCTGCTGAGACTGAGAATGCAACAGCATCAACAATTGAAACACCTGCACAAGCACCTGTAACGGATCCACAGTCCGAGCAGTCAAAGCAAGCCGAGGAAGCGCCCAAAGCATAGTTAACTATTGTAAATCTGTTGATGTAATACATTTTTCTAAGCTAATTTATAATATACAGAGATGTTAAACGGGTGGTATTTACATGTGTGTTGAAGAGAGTGATAGGGACAGACAGAGAGAGAGAGAGTGAGAGAAAGTAAAGAGAATGCCGGGCGAGAGCGCAAAGCTTGATAAAGCTCTAATTTGACCATCCCTTTAAAATAATCTCGCGCAATAAATATATATGTATGTAAATATATACATGTAAATACTTACACTTGTATACATATATATGTATGCGTGTATTTTTATACATAATTATTAAAAAGGATGGGCCAAACGCCTACAGTTCCTGCACTGGTGTATGTGCGCGTGTCTTTATCTGCAGCTCGACGCTGATAAAACACGTATGAAAGCTTTGTAGGTTTTATAATTTATTACAAACCCGACTGAGAAGCCTATCAGAATGGAATGAGCGTAATTACTTATGTCAACTCTTGAAGGCAAATAGGAAATTGGAATTAAAAATGGAAAATGAGTTAGGAAAATTTAATTGAATTATATCTTTACAGCATAGTTGCAGTGAAGCATAGCGCGAAGTTCTGCCTAACTGCAACTGGATACCCATTGATAATGGTAAATGAGGGTATAATGATTTTGATCACAATGTATGTAACAGACAATAGATAGGCGCTCGTTCCGGCATTCAGGGTGTTTTCTAGTCAGGCACTCTCGACTAAAGCACTTGTTTTCTCTCTCACTTTTACTAAAATGCGAAAGTTATGTGCCTGGATTTGCTGTAATATTTGAGCCAATTGAAAAGCTTTAGGCTCTGCATTCTTGTTTATTGACAAAGATGGGTCCTAAATAACGGAAGACCATGAAGCTATTTACACATATACATACATATGTAAATATGTGTATGTGCTAATTGTTAAGCTTATAATATGACACCGAGCTGGCCTTGCCCACAGATAATCGTACACATGATATGTTGCAGTCATTACGAATCCGTAAATATTTATATTTAAATAAATAGATTTCATACTTTTTCATTTATTATACATACATACATATGTATATATGTATATCATCAGTCTTGTAGAACGTAGCTAACAAGCAATCAGTCGGCTGTTGTATAGTTAAAGCTTGCTAACATTGCAATGGCTCAAAAAGTCAATTTTCCAATCTATAAGAATATGATGAATATTAAATATATATCATTAAATATATAAATTTCATTCTCTACCTTTGCCAGTTAGACAGATCTCGCGCAACATATCGCAGTGGCTATAAAAGAACTGATGCTCATTCGTATATGTGGCACAGATGGGCAGGAACGGATCACAGTCGTCCAGGCCCTTGCAGCGACTGCTCGAATACTCAAAGACCGGCAGAGAGAAGACGCAGAGCACAGATGCCACACAGATGATCAGCAGAAGAAGCAATGATAATTTCGATAATATGCGAAACGAAGGCATGCTAAAAGGTTTTTAGCACTCTAGCAGAATGAGTCACGCTTTTCTCTAAGCTAGATGAATATAATACGATATTAGCTTATTTTTGCAACTGAAGTGAGCCCAAAGTCAACTCACCTATTGGCACATAAATTTGGTTATATACTTTCGTTTGAGTAAACGATATTGTTTCGTGTTGAGAACTGATAATCACTGGGAAGCTTGAGCGCTACTGTGCGCTCTCGCACTGATGTCTCTGTACTCTATTCGGCGAGCTGAAGCCCCCCATCTGGCTGGGCCCAGCGATTGTCATGACAACGCGTCGATTGTGGCGCATTGTTATTGTTATTGTTGCTCACCGACACAATGATAAACATTGGGCACAATCGCAGTGCGGGCTATTGTTTATCCCGCTATTGCCGGCAAAAAAAAATAATAAAATAAAATAAAACCCCAATGAATTCCGATGCCGTTGCTCATCTAACTGGAACACCGTTTCCAGCTGAATCGGAAGTGTTGCCTAGCGGAAGCGTTGCGTGCAGCTAAACCATATTTGCGAGCTGAGCTCGTGAACTTTATAGGTCAAAACAAAAATGCCGGACACTAGGCCGGTCCACTAATAGTCTGAGTTTAGTTTCCCATTGCATTCACATATTTGTCACATGTCAACAAATGTTTTAAACTAGCTAAAGCTGGCTATACCTATTATTTAAATTTATTCCTAAACTTCATAGGTCAGAAAAACCGGCAAATTGAATAAATAGTCAGAGCTTTGATTCATTCACCTATTGCTCACATGTGATGGAATATATACATTGTATATGCAGTAAACTCGTTATAAGCTTGATAATTCTATGTATAATCTAAATTTGCATATTTAATATAGTATATTCACACCTGCGTATAATATTTAGAAACCCCGGCTGATCAAATAAGAGTCAGACTTATGATTCATTCGCATATTTATCACGTCATTAAAGCTTGATATTTCTACAATCTAAATTTATATATCCAATACCATACATTGTGTATAATACGACTTACATCACTTGATGGCACTTGCAACATACTCAAGTATGTATTTGTGTGCCGCTTGTGTGCCCACAAACGTCAAGATGACTGCATTTCCTGCTTATGTGGATTTTGCCAGCGTCCCTATGTATGCATGTAGTTGGTCTATGCGAAAAAGTTGAGCAGACATACATACATACACTTGCAACATTGTATGTAAAACAATGGAGACATAATACATGCATTTACATACATACATACATATATAAATACATATGACTTGCATACATAACAATTCGGTATATCAACGTGTGAAATCAATATAGAGCTTCAGTTATTTGCACGTAACTCGCACAACTTTGGAGCTGCCTTAACCAAATTTTGCATTGAGTTTTTATTTTTTATTTATTTATTTATTTATTATATAGAATTTTTTTTTATTTATTATATAGAATTTTTATTTTTTTCTGTTTTTATACTCAAACGAATTAATTTATTCCAAATTCAATTTTAAAAAATTAAATGAATTATTAAGTTTAATTCGCACTCAGTTTCATTTCAAACCGTTAGAAAATGCAGAAGTTATTAAAGAAAATGCGTGGGGTCAATTAATTGGCAAAGTCACGTGGCTTATTAGCGTCATGCCTAAACATTTTCTCTCTCACTCGAACACACACATACATTCATGCAAACGCGTGCATCCCTATTGGCTTGCTATAAATAACATAAGCAATTGAATTGTATTTGATTTGCCAGCTTGGTAGCTTAGCTGTGCATTTGGCACTTTTGTGTGGGATCGCTGCGTGGCGCAGTTGGTTGAGGCGCGAATTGAATTGCTGTCAAAGCAATTTACACATGACTGACTGAGCAGAGGCAGGTTCAAATCTTGACGAAGGAAAGTCTTCATAATTGTTCAAGTAGAAAGAGATTTTAATGTTTCAATTATTATTATACAATATATACATACATATTTATATTTATTGATTGTTGAGTAATTGACAATAACATTTCCGCTGGCAATTGCTGTTACTGTTGTTAGGTTTCCATTTATTATTACGTGCTTATTACGTATAGATGCTTGCAGTGAAAGCTTAAATGTGCTGTCTCAGCATTTACTTATGACTGAGGAGCATAATCGTACTCGAATCTTAACGAAGCGGGCATGTCTTCTCATTCTTCAAATATATATTTGGTTATGCATTCATTGCTAAAGCTGCTGAGCAGACTCTGGTTAGAATCTTGACGAAGGCAAATTAACTCAGTCAAGTAGAAAACATTTTAAGGTTTCCTTGAGTATGTACACATTTATTGATTATATATCGTACTCATATTTTAAGAATCTTTCAAAGCAGGTGCTTAGGGTATATCTCGGTCGGTTTTCTATTTCTTTTACTGAAAGTACTTAATGCCTGACATACTTTCCTATTCAAGTCACGTTAAGTATTATTTCTAACGCTAATGGGATTAATAATAATGTATTTTAAAATGCAATTTTTGGCATTTTCAGACTTCATTTTAGCTATAAATAGCCTTAGTAGCAATAAAAATGGTTACGCTACATATATGAGCCAGCTATAAGAAGCAATATATTTTGTGGTTTAATCTTTCAGTGGGCAATATATGAAAATATTATTGCGCGCACAAGTCAATAGCAACAGCAATAACCTACAACAACAGCCGAGCCACAAGGATAGGCAGCACAAATGAATGCCACGCACACGGAGAAGGGTAAAAAATATTGGCACAGTCCAACCGAAGCCCATCTAGAAGCCCAGCTCGACTCGTGTGAAGTGGTCGACTGCTTATACCCTGTACATTTAAAAGGTAGAGGCAGAAAGAGAGTAAGATGATCATGATGATCAGCAATCATATTATATATACTTCAAACTTTCATCCCTTAAATAATTTCTATATGAATTTACACCTTACACATCATTCTCATCATTCCAGGGCATCTCTTAGCAGCATCGCTTCACGCTTTCCTCTTGTTACTATTCGGAATTTGCTGATATGCGCGCACCGATATCGACTTGTTTTTGCGGTTGTGGAAAAGTGGGGGTGGCTGGGGACTTATATGGGTCAGCGGACAGTGAACAGCGTACGGCGCATAGCGTACGGCGTATACACATATCATGTGTGCAATATTAGCCAGAATCCATTTGGCTAAACCAGCAGAAAAAGGTTCAAGTGTAAGCAATAAACAAATATTTCAAATTACTCCCATGAGATGCACGAGATTTGCCTTTCGTGTTTATTGTCGATTGTATTTATCATTTCATCTTTATTATAAATACACGTCAAGTGTAGTGAACGTGCAGTGGGCGTACATGACGGCATAATACTTTTTCGTGTTACAAAAATTGATTCAATTTATGGATCTATTTGTAGATCTGTAAGTTTGGGATTCTAGATTAAGAGTACAGGTAGATGTAGTTTTTTTTATGTGCCACGCCCTACACGGGCGGGGATATAAATATATTAATGCATATTAGTTCCAAAATTTCAAAACTGTATCAACATTATAATCATAAGATATAGTAAACCCCATTTTGCCGTGGCCTAAGAGGTCTATAGTCGACTCACATTGCTCAAAGCCCATACACTCGTTTGCTATTTCATCAGGAAGGCAT